TGTGTGTGTGTGTGTGTGTGTGTCTCACACATCAAACAAATTTCAGTTTCATGCAATAAACACTGTATCACACCCCATGAATCTAAATAGTTATCTGCAACTGGCATGAAACATAAACAAAGAACCACAAACTGCATAAAGTGGTAATTCAGGCTTGACATACTTTAGACCATATTGCTATGCTTGTTGTGTTATTTCAAGAGTGAGCTCAAATCTCAGCTTCACCAATCGTTCATGAAGTCTCACTGCGACCATATTCCTTAACTTTCACTATGCTTCATTCCTGAGGTTCTGACCTTGACATGCTTTCTCTTCCTGAATCCCCTCCCTGCCCCCTTCCCTTGTAACACAAGCATTCCTTGAACAATTGGCATCCCACACACATTCTTCTCCCTCCTGCTTTGCACCAGGAGCACTCTTTTTACTTTATTAAAGCTGCCGTTCCACAACATCCTTACTTGGTTCGATGTGAGGAATATTAAAACTTCTCATCCCCACCCATTCCCAAAGCCCCACAGCATTCTTCCCTTGACAATTAAATCTTTAGTATCTACAACCACAAGACCCAGTGAGTGAGGACGCCATTCTCTTACTACTGTTAAGGAATGCATGAAAATGCAACCATCTAAGCCTAACTCCCTATTCATTTCATAAACAGCTCTTATCCCTGCTAACTATTGTTCGCCATCCACTGGAAAGGCCCATTTCTATTTGGTATCCTATAGGTGAGGATTTTTATTTTTGTGCCTACAAATCGGCCTTTAACTAGTGACAACCGCTTGATTGGGTCACTCAAGGTTTCCCAACAAGGTTTTTTTCGGAAATGGGCTTGCCACTGCCACTAAGAGTGACTGGCCCAAAGTCACCCAGCAGCCTTTGTGCCTTCGGCAAGGCTAGAACTTGCATCTCCCAGTTTCTAGCCTGGGTACTGTACCAAACCCGGTCCTAGGTGAGTTAGTTAAGTCATTCTGAACCAGCATCAGCTTAATAGTTGAAAGTAATCAACCATTCCCCAACCACCCGTGTGGAGGGGTACCACCAGCAGGGTATACCCTGTATGCCCATGTCCCTTCTTATTTTACAATTATATCAGGATGCTTCTTTTGAAGCAGAATAAGAATTCAAGCTAGCATACTAACCTGGATGCAGCTACAGTTAGTTTCCAAGGCCAGGTTTAGGAATAACAGGCTGCCCAGCAATTTGACCCTTAACCCAATCTTTCCTCAAGAACCAACCACCCATAATGACTGGGTACAGAAACTGCGCTCTCTTTAAATATATAGCATATTCTCTCTCTCTCTCTCTCTCTCTCACACACACACACACACACACACAGTGTCGGCCCCCTCACCCACCCTCTCTATATACACATACACATGCGTTTTTGTGTGTGTGTGTGTATATGTGTACACACACACACCCAAATACATACATATGGTGTCGGCAACTCTCTCTCTCTCTATATATATATATATAAATATATAATTTATATATAAATACATGGTGTCGGCAATTGCATTGGGGCAATTCAGCCATTATGGTCGCAGCGGATGACTGGCTCAGCACGGCATGCAAACCGAACTCGCCCCGGCTTAGCTTATCGATCGCCGCGGCCAGGGAGGCAGCTTAGTCTGTCCGAGCACGCCCCTCGTCGGGGGGCAATTCTCCTCTTTCCTTGGAAGCCCTGCGAGCCCCGGGCTCTTCCGTCGGGCAAAGGATCCCCACCAGGAGGAACCTGATCTTCCTTCCTTTTGTCTCGGCTGAAGCGGCGGCTGCGCCCCACGCCGTCCTCCCGTGCTTCTCGCTGGCCACTCACCCTTTATAATAAGCCTTGACGCGGACCTGATGGGCGCTGTCGCCTCCGGGGCCACCCAGGCCACCGATCCCGCCGCCGCCGCCGCTTCCCGGGGCCGGGTGCGACATGCTAGTGCCGCCGCCGCTGTTGCTGCTGCCGCTCTCGCGCTGAGTCGGCATCGCCCCTCCGCCGTGCCTCGCCGCGCTTCGCCCGGCCCCGCCCGCCCGCTCGCCTGCCTCCCTGGCGGCCCCACCCCGGACCTGCAGAAGGGGGGGAAATGTGTGTGTGAAGGAAGAAAGGAACGTGCGTGCGTGCGTGCCCCCTCCCTCCCCAAAACGACAGCACCGCCGCTGTAACGGATACCCGGTTCAGACCGCTCCGCCCTCTCTTTCTCTTTCTCTCTCTCTCTCTCTGCCACCCCTCCCACCCACCACCACCACACCCTCCTCCGAGGTCGCGCGCTGCAGGCGCGCGTGCGCGGGCAGGTACAATACGTCCCTTCGGCGAACGCGCCAAAGTCGCGGAGCCTAAGGGAGAAGCAGGGGAGGGGCTGAGGAGCGAACCACTTTCCCCGGGGCGTAGGGGACGACGACGAAAGGGCTCAAAAGAACCGGGCGGAGAGGTGGGAGCTCGTCTGAAGCCGGGAGGAATTCTCAGATGCGTTGTTTTCATAACTCCGAAGCACACCGAATCCTTTCTTTGGAGGAAATAGGCTAAATAGTTTGTCGGCCTTTTTTGCAGCTCCCCCCCCTTTTTTTTTCTGTCTGCGCACCTGACGAATAGATCATAGAGAGGAGACTTTGGCATAGTACTGTACTCAGGCTAGCATCGCTGAAAGCAAAAGACAGTAGAACACGGGTATCAAACTCGACGCGTCAACTTGACGTATCGCAATGGAGGTTTTTTTTACCTTTGCGGAGCAGGGGTGGGCGAGGCCTGCGCATGACGCATCCTGCCCGCCGGCCGCCAGTTCATCACAGCTGTCGAAACTAAAGCGTGGTATAAAACTGTGGTGTAGGTTATTGGTAAAAACCGGTTATTTCTAAAGTAGCACTACTACAAACATCGCAGAATGCGTGGACGGCTTCAAAGTATGGAATCAGTGCACTGCAGAGATTGTTCCAACGGGCATCGATCTCTGGCTTGTACTTTACAGTATTTCCATTTCTGTACTTCCAGAAAACTCTTTAATATTTTTACAAAGAAGTAATGCTACAGTATGTGCGGAGCTGTACAAGAAGCGTGATCTTGAAAACGTGGGAGTGTGATTTACACTGAAAAATAATAGCTGCTTCTGCATGAGAAAATGGATTTTAGTCGTGGAATTTTTCATTGTCTGTTTAGTCATGGAATTAATGGAATTTAGACTGGTTTAGAGATCCAGATGTTGAAATTCACCTTATTCTCCCTCTTCCTTCTACGTTTTGTTCTTCATTAGGAGAAAAAAAGGAAAAGAATGGTAGCACAATAACTTTTAACCTCATGGGGAGACATCCTTCTGGAAGCCTCCTGTAATAAAGGTTGTTGAACATGCTAGACTAGACCAAAATAAGATTAGACTGTTTAGTTCCATGTATTGTGGAAACTCAGCCATTATCTCAGCATATTGTAAATGCCAATCTATTAGCTTTAAATCACAACATGGTATGAGCAAATTATGATGCATATTGAAGCAGAGTAGTATATTTGGCAAACCTGTCTGCTTTACCAGTTGTTTGAGCCAAGCAATGAAAGTCTTGAAAAAAAATATTCAAATGCTGTGATGTAACAATCTAAAATGACAAGAATAGTGCAGACAATAGTATTGTTTGTAGCACTCTGGAATACAAAAGTTGGACTTTGAAGAGCCACACACAAAAAGATTGATGCTTTTAAACTTTGATATTGGAGAAAATTCCTGAGAATGCCATAGATAGCCAGGAAAACAAATAATTGCTAAAACAAATGAATCAGACGTATTACTTGAGGAACAATTGGTCAGATTCAAACAATTAGATTTTGGGGAGATCCAGATCTCTTGAGAAGTACATAATGATGGGAAAAGTCAAAGAAAAAAAAGGACAAATAGCAGCAAGATAAATTGCGTTATAATGTACCATTTGAAGACATAAAAAGCCAGCATGCAGACACATCATCCTGGAGGAAAGTTTTATCTGTGTGGTCCCTTGACTGTCAGGACTCATAAAACATTTTGTATACACGTTTTATAGTTAACATTGACTTGACATAATTTTGTTTTAAATAAACGTTCATGGCTCAGATTAGAGTGCATATACCAAACTGTATTATCATATTTGTGATATGACCTGCATTGATAGGTTACCTTATTGTTGTTGTTTTACATATGTTAATACTTGAGAGAGGATCAAATACATGATCACCCATTAGGCTGTACTCTTTCCCCATTGATACTAAAACTATCCACTTAAAAAAGAGTGGGCAGTTGAAGCATGTTGCTCTTAACAGCAGTCTTAAAAAGTGGTCAGAGGATACCTTGGTGGTATTCATATGCCTCTAAGCAGTCAAACGATAACTGAAAGGAGGCAGTGTATTCCTCCAATGAGGTCCCAAAAAAGATTATCCACAAGGGTGACCAATTCCCCTGCTGTCCCATTAAAAGAATATTAAAAAGAATGGAGACACTGGCTCAGTGGCTAAGACACTGAGCTTGTGGATCAGAAAGGTTGGCAGTTCAAATCCCTAGCATCGCGTAACAAAATGAGTGCCCATTACTTGTCCCAGCTTCTGCCAACCTAGCAGTTCGAAAGCATATAAAAATGCAAGTAGAAAAATAGGGACCACTTTGGTGGGAAGGTAACAGCATTCTGGGCGCCTTCTGTGTTTAGTCATGCTAGCCACATGACCATGGAGACATTTTTGGACAGCACCAGCTCTTTGGCTTTGTAACAGAGATAAGCACCGCCCTAGAGCTGGAAATTAGCACTTATGTGGAGAACCTTTACCTTAAAAATCCAGATACTTAATCTGTTTCTTCAAGAGTACTCTGTGGTTAACTTCTTACCACATTCTTGACAACTTTCCCTAGATATGGTGAGACTGGGCAACAGTAGGTATCTCCTTCACAGCAGGTGATAACACCCCTTTCCCTCAAAGCTTGCCACCTTTTGAATTGATCTTGTCAGTCTCCACACCATCCTAAAGGAACCAAGAAAAGCATCATTCAAGCCCACAGGTGGTAGTGGGTTGACTGGAGAACATCCTCCCTATAATCCCCAAAGAGTTGCAGATAACATTGTCAGAGGTTGTTCCAGACATCACATCCAATTCTGCTCATGAAAGCCAGTGTGAAGATTAATTTGTTGTGTTGTCAATAAAATCTCAGGCACACAAGTTGGTGTGGAACTGAAAAGAACATTGTCTCTGAATTTGAGAGAAACACACAATACCTTTGCAAAGTAGCTTTAGCTCCCTAACAGTGCAAGTCACAAGTAATTCAGGTAAAACAAAAAAGTGTTTACAATATTAAGGAAAGTCCAGGCTTTACAGAAACAAATGATGATACGCATTCAGTATATGATAGATTTATATAAAAAAGCAACAAATCACTGATGGTCAATACAAGCTTTGTTTTTATTAAATGTGAGAAAAGATATTCTTAGATAAAATTCCTCAAGTGACAAATGCATGTCTAGAGGTAGCTGTAGGTTGCAGAAAAAAACTTATCTTTTGTAAAATATGTAGCATTTCATCCTTTCCCACCCAGTTTGTTTCTTTTTTAACTTTGTTCAAGGACTTTAGAATACTGTCCTACTATTTAAGTGCTGAGGCTAGTTTTTGTTACATCAAAAAGCTTTGGCTCCAAACAAAACATGCTTTCCTAAACTTAAACCCTAAAATTCTACATAACAGTTGGACTAGGAACAGGAACCTTTCAAGTCCATTATTTCCCAATCTCAACATAAGATGTGTGAAGTCAATTAATCTAAACAGAAATAAATCCTCAGCCAAAATGTAAATCTGAACACAAATGGTAGTGCTTCAAAGAGCACTTGGAACAGTCAGTTTGGTATAGTGCTTAAGTCATTAGGCTAGAAATCAGGAAACCCTGAGGTCTAGTCCTGTTTTAGGTACAAAGTCACTGGGTGACTATGGGCCAGTCATTTTCTCTCAGCCCCAGAAAGAAAGAAATGGCAGAACATGTTGCCCAAAAAATCTGCAGGGACTTGTCCAAGCATCCCAACAAAAAAAAACATGTGTAGTTAAACTGTTTTTCATTAATTTCATTAAATTCATTTCATGTTGTCCACTTTTTATCCAACATCTTGTTCTCGAGCTACAAGAAAATCCCTTGTGATGGTCACCAGGATTTTTTATTGAATTAACCCCACTGTCTCCATTCACACAAAGGAAACACTTCAGAATGAATGTATGTAATACTCAAACCTAAAGCAGAGTCGGCTGGTCTGCGGTTCCCTGTCTCTTGCAAACGTTTATGAAAGCTTTCTTCCCATTCTTTGGGGGGGGGGGGACCATTATGGCTTATCCTAAGACCCCAGACAACCGCGGTTTATTCGTGGCTTCCCGAAACATCCGAATCCAGCTGACGCGTGCCTTTGGAAGCCTCCCCCCTCCCCAATCTTGCGGCAGAGGATCAAGATACGACAAGAACACGCGGGGAATTTCCCTTATTCAACCTTCCCAGGACCCCCAAGAGAGCCGGAGGGGGAGGAAATCCCCACCCCGGAGTGAGTTTTGTCGGAGGAATGACAAGCCTAAGCGGGCTGCCCAAAAAAAAAAACAAAAAAAAAAAACCAACCACCTTCTCCACACACACACACAGAAATCAGAACTCGGAAGCATTCAGGACCCGGACACAGGAACGGCCGATTCACACGCGATTCCTCCCCCTCAGACGAGTCGAGCGCAACCTCCCGGCCGCGAGGCGCGTGCGCGCTGTCTCCCTGTGAGGGAGGCGAGAACATGGCGGAAGCGGAGTGAAGGGTTCGTACGCCGAGCGGGTGCGTTTCTCTTTCGTGCGGGGGAGAGGCCGCCCGACGCGGGAGGGGCTCCTGGCCGGCCGGGAGAGTGGGCTGGCGCAAAGCGATCCTCGGCGCGTCCGGGCCGCGGGGATGGCAGCAAACGGGCAGAGGAAGCTGCTGGGCCCTGCGCTTTTCTCGTCTCTCTTTCCCCAACCTGGCGCCCTCCAGAGGTGCGCGCGCACCCCTGTCTCTGAGGGCTCGGGAGTTATTACCCGGGGCCGGTCTGGAGAAGGTTGCATTGGCTCAGCCTTGCGTGAAAGGTGAACCCCAGGCCAGAGGTTGGCCCGGGTAAATCACACACCTTGAGCCGCGTATATATATATATATGTTTTAAATTTCTTTTCCTTATGGGGCTCAATCTCCTTTCTTAAAGGCGCTTGACAACTCCTGCTGTGTGCAAAGTCTAGTATTGGGGGCCAGAAATGAAAGTTGCCCCATGTTTTCACAGCCCCCATATGCAATGCTTTAGCTAAGCAAAGCAGGATGCCCTGGGAGAGAGAGAGAGAGAGAGAGAAAGAAAACTCTGCACACACCTATGTGCACCCCTGGCTTCAACTGAATTGCTAGATTGATTGATTGGATTGGATTCCTTTCCCTGGAATCAAAATGAAGTGTATGTGCTGGTTAAAAATCAAATTTTGTGTCAGCTGATTCTTTAGATCTCACTTGATGAGATAAAGTAGCAGCTGTTAAATTTATATTTGCTGGGCCCGTGGAGTGAAATTGTTCACTTGCTGGCTTTTCTACAATCCCATTAGGTTTAAATTACTATTGGTGTAGCAATGACAAAGAATCTTACAGCATCCGAAATACCATTCATTATTACTGTTATTCTTTGTTAAATTTGTAGGCTGCTGACTCTCACCATCTTAATAACACACAACATCTTTTAAGATGCCACAATGCTAATTCTCTAGATTATGCTGCATTCATGAACAGGACAAGGTTCTTCCTCCTCAGTGAGTTTAATAACATTTCCTCCCAGGTAAAGTACAGTATAGACCAGTGTTTCTTAATCTTGGCAGCTTGAAGACATGTGGAACTTCAATTCTCAGCATTCCCTAGCCAGCAAAGATGACAATGTCACATGTTACTGAGGTGGTAGGAGTCAGCAGTCTTCAGTTCTAGAGTTGAAGTCCACACAACTTCAAGCTTCAAGTTGAGACATTACCATTATAGAGAATGCTGGTAGAAAAGTCCACTATCGTATTTCTGGATTGCAAAATTTTGCATGGCCACTAAATGAGAGACTTTTGCAGAACAGATATGATTTGCTAGCAGCAGATAACCTGCAATGCTTCTGCTATTATTGGACTTAATTTCCTGCCATGCCTGATACAATTGATATGATGGCTAGGCTGGTGGAATTTGGAGTTTGACATCATCTACATGACTATGATGCTACTCTTGTATAAGGTTGCAGCCTAATCCAGATTATGAAAAAATTGCAACCTCAATTCCCATTCATAATGTGGGCGATAAACTTTTTACTCAACTTAAAAGGTTTCAGTAAGGTTAGAAAATACATAATGCAGGTAAAGTGTTTCTGAACCTTTAAAAATATCCAAATGCTAAATATAACTATGTAAATATGACTAGATAGATGGCAGTTGAAAAATGGTAATGATAACAACAGGTATCTCAATTGTTTTAACAATAGCTGATAATTTTTGCAATTCACAAGTAAAGCAGCATGTGCCACCGGCAATACAAGTTGCATTTTCTCTAAAATGTTGTGAAAGGACAAGTTTTTATTTCATAAGGGTTATCTGAAAATCTTTGACTATTACAACATTCCTGTTTCAGGTAGTTAGTTATATGTTCATTTTGCATAGTACAACACACAGGAGAAATGGATCAGCTAAACATTGATGATATAGGTCAGCATGATGCAAATATGATTGTTAGTCTTACATAGTAATCCCATGCACACTTCTTTGAAAGTAAGTGATATTAAACACAGCAGGATTTAATTCTAAGTGCATTTGCATATTTTGTGCTATTAAACTTAGAGGTCTGAATTCAAATCACAGCTCAAACATACATTTTAATTAACTTCCTAAATGTGGGCCATTTGTTTTCGTTCCCTCGAAAATAAAACACTACGTACACAGTCTTGAATATAGTTTGTTCCCAAGGCAAAATGTATTTGTCATTAAATTGTACTAATATGTCTGGCAACCTTCTGCATCAGCTGTGCAAAATTTTCAGGGGCAACTTCATAGAAAACAAAAGCATGAATAAGTATGATTGGCAACAGCAGAGCATCTACAACAAGTACAGCTATTTAAAAGAAACAAAACATCACCGTTTCAATCCTAAAATAATCACTCTTTATTTTTTTAAATGATATCTGCAACAGTATTTTGAGATAGACTGTTATTCTGGTTCTCTAGTATGAAACTTCAGGCATGAGATTTGGAACTTGCATTATTGAATGTTGTGAAATTTGATTTTTGTTTTCTATATAGAATCCTACCTACAAATGTGTTTCCTTTAGAGTCCAGGTAGAATAAAATGGTATTCATTTGGTGTTTTTTTTAAATATTTTGTTCAGAGGCAGGATCATTCCGCAACTATGGAGAATGAATCAAGCACAACAACTTCTTCGACAGGCACAACCACCATTGCTACTACATCTTCCCCCTCCCGTACACAACCACCCCAGATATCTGTCTACAGTGGTTCAGATCGACATGCTGTGCAGGTATTTAACCAAGGAAACACTCTTAATATCTATTACAAATTGAAAATCATTGCTAAAAAGATTCTGATTAAATGCAGCTTCTATGATTTCAATAATAACTCTTGATCAGCCCTTCCCCCTGCTTGTTTTTTCCCCCCTTTGCAACCAGTGTAGAGTTCTGGAGAGATTAAATGCTTGCAAACTATTTTGGGAAATGTGCAGTTTTAAGAATATTTGTGTTCTGACCCATAGCAATCTAGGAACTATTACCATATTTTTTTGCACTATTAAGACACACCTGACCATAAGACGCACCTAGGTTTAGAGGAGGAAAACAGGCAATGATAAAGACAGAAGAAGTGAGGTTCAGCACTGTAAAAGGACCCCACCGCCACAGCCCATATTTTTCGTTCCATAAGATACACAGACATTTCCAGTCATATTTGCAGGGTGGAGAGTGCATCTTATGGAGTGAAAAATAGGGTAGTTCATTTACTTAAAAGCATAGGAAAAATGAAATTATTTGCTATAATTTGCTGGAATCAGCATCATTTCTGGATTTAGAAGCAGAGGCAATTTAGGGACAAGTGAGGTAATTAAAAAAAAGGATAGGGACTGTGAATACACATGCAAAATAGGATAGGGCTTCTATGAGATGGTTGTGGCCATTGTCTTGACTTTTTTGACTCTGTATGGATGTCTCTTGTTTATAGGGAAAATAAAGAATAATTAGCCTAGCTTTTAAAAACCTCATCCTACATATGTACTCTTTCATCCTTTTCTATCCCGTTCTTTCTCTCTTTTTTAATGTTCTACCTCTATCTCAGTGCTTTTCTTCTTGATTCTTTAATTCTTTCCAGCTCCTTCTAAAACACCAATTTATCTTTGATCCTAATTTTACTACTGGTAGCTTATTTGGTTCATATAGAATCAACGATTTTGAAAGTTATTTAACACAGTTCATTTCCATTTGGCAAGTAAATGCTTGATCGTTACAAAACTGTGGTATTGTGTGGAATGTTAGTAAAACAGCCTTTTGCAACCTGATACTTTCCAGGTGGGTTAGATCTAGAATTCTTAGCCAGGATAGCTTCAGGCTGAGAATTCTTGGAATGGCAGCTCCCATGTCTTAATCATGAGGACTGGGGGAAAACCATTTAAAATATGCAGTTTCAATTATTTGAGAGAAACCATATTTATGAAAGTTCAGCTGAGGACACCGGCATCAAGAATTTGGCCATTGTAGAGCAATGGAGCTAATATTATTTTGTCTGAACTGCCTAAAATCTCAAATGGCAAAATTTTGTCATTTCAGAAGCTGAAGCTCCTTGAAAGCCTGGGGGAGTGGGCTAAAATCCTATTTGGTAGGAATTCCCATCAATCCTTGCTTCCCAACTGTTTGACATTCCCCACCCCCTGGGCCGTTGTTTTTCAGACTTGCTGCCTGGGGAATTCTAGGAGTTGAGATCCTCACTTCTTAAAGTTGCCAAGTTTGAAAAACACAGTCCTAGACACATCGGGCAAGCCACAATTGTGTTGTGGTGGTCCAGCACAGATTTGGGGACTTTTAGTTGGCCAATGATAAATCAGGTTACAGGGGAAGGACATAGAGCCTTCCAATGGGAGATTGACTTTGGCATTCCATCGATCGTCCTGGAGGGAACATGTTTGGATGTAGGTAAAACACTTGCAGTGCAGTGACTGTTTTGGAGATAAGCATGGGCTGTTACAAAACTATACCTGAGAGTTTGGGAGAGCGGCAGATACAGAATAGAATAGAATTCTTTATTGGCCAAATGTGATTGGACACACCAGGAATTTGTCTCCAGTGCATTAGCTCTTAGTGTACATGCAAACAACAAAGTGATCGGTCATAGATCATTAGTCATAGTTGCAATCATTAATCATAACATACAAACAACAAGTGATAAATCATAAAATACCAATAGGAGCAGATAGTAGGAAAGATGAGAAAAGATGAGAAATGAAAAGGTGAGAAAGATGAGAAGGATAATAGCAATATAGCCTTACTACATGGGTAGATTTAAGCCTGAATTAGTGCTGTGGGAATTAGGTGTTCAGCAGAATGATGGCACAAGGGAAGTGGAGGGGGGGGGGGAACTGTCTTTGTGTCCACCTGTTTTGGCATGCAGTGCCCTATTAGCAGCGCCCTGAGGAGAGAAGTTGACACCATTTATCATAAGGAAGTTAGGGGTCTGTAGATACTTTCTCAGCCCTCTTTCTGGTTTGTGCAGTGTACAATCAATATAGTTGGTTAACTTTAAGCATTGGCATCTGTTAGGATAGTCCAGACTTAAGACAACATGTGCTTGGCCTTGTGGCATGGTGACTACGCAGTGACACACCACTTGTCTTGAACTGACGTCTTGTCAGGCTGAGCCCAAAAACAATGTTGGACAGTTCAAACCGAGTTCATTTCTTTCATTGTTTACACACAGCAGACAGAATTTTGCTAGACTAAACTCTTTCTTCTCCCAGCCTAACAGATACACCCCAAGAGATTCTAGAGAGTGGCTATTCCAATTCTCTTCCTCTGTTTACTATCCAGACTGTGCTGCCTCTTGTCTCCCTTCCCTTTCTGGAATGTGCTTCCTCCTTCCTGTGAGAAATTGCCATTTCACTGTCATTTATCATCCCAACTCCCCCTCCATGGACATGTCTCTCACATGTCTCTTCCATATATTCTGATGCTGGACATAGAAGCCTGTGTTCATAGAGCTAGCAGTGAACTCAGTGGTCAGATGACTTATGTGGGTTGCTCAAGGGAACTAAAATGTTCCTGGTTACATAGGCAGTGATGCAGTTCCTTAGAAGTGCAGGCGATGCTTATGATTAAATGGCTGTTATGATAGGACTGATCTTTCTCCATCTCCTGTTCTTGCCATGGTTACTCAAAACCCCACAGGTCATTCAGCAGGCCTTGCATCGTCCTCCCAGCTCAGCTGCACAATACCTTCAGCAGATGTATGCAGCTCAGCAGCAACATCTAATGTTACAAACAGCAGCTTTACAACAACAACATTTGAGCAGTACTCCATTCCAGAGTTTGGCCAATGTTCCACAGGTAAGACTGGGGTAGATTAGAAATAAAGATCAGGAAGTTGGCCTTAATTCTTCCTACAACAATAACAACATAAGGTTACAATGCTTTGGTTTTAAGGGAAAGTTTTCCAACCTTTCCACCCCTACCCCACAAATATTTGTCTATAGCACTTAAAGCGGTACCTAACAGCAGTGGAACTTTAATAGCCAATAGTTTCAAGCGTGGGCAATAGTGAAGCATGCTGGGAGCTGTAGTTTGGCAATATTAAAAGATCCCAAATTTCCTACCTCTGTTATAAATAGCCAAGAAATTCTTCATAAGTGGAAGAGGTAATTTTTTTTTAAAAAAGTAATATTTCAACCTAGCAATTTAATGGTCTGTTGATATAATAATAATGAAATAACGTATTATCAAGTAACAGAAGCCTGAGACTGGAGACCGAATCAATTTGATTTTCATTTTGAAACGATGTAATAATTCAAAATCATTAATTGTGAATATCTGATTATTTTAATCACTTGGGTTATTGATACAGTGAATTTCATTTCTCTGTTTTCACATCAGAGAATGTACTCTGATGTTATTTTTGTTTAATATCTTTCTATAATAATTGCATTTACAAAGCTTCCAATAACATTAAACAAAAGAATGGAAGTGACATATCAAAATACAATGAAAAGTTAGAGCTCATTGATTTTTATTTATTGGAAAATATAATCCCATTTTTTTCCATCTCTCAGCATTACTCAGGGGCAGTTAACAGTACATCAAACAAAAATATTTTTGCTGCTGAGCTTCAGTAACTTGAGTTTAACATATGACTCTTTAACTAAGCTTTCAAAAGAGATACTGGTAGCAAGCCAACTGGAATTAAAGAGAATGTAGACCACAAATAAAAGTGGATTCTGGGAATTGTGGCTTTGGGGCTGCCGTTGAGTTTAATGCGGGTACACTCTTGTTAGTCAAGCATTTTTTCTTGCAATGCAAATGACTCATTTGATAGATATGCTTGCTGTTTAGGCAAATCTTTCAGGTGGGAGGCAGTGTGCTTCTCCTAATGGCAGTGTCAGTCAGCAGTCCAGCATGTCAGAAACCTCGGTAAGTGTCTAGCAAAAGTATTTCTCTATAAGGTTCCATGTTTATTCTCTACATTCACTTTGTTTATGCAAATGTTTGAGGAGCAACAACTGGAATTCTTGACCTATTAAAGTCTCAGTGCCGTTATGTTGGAAATAGTAATACAGATGTTTAAACATTATTTTGCTTTGAAAAAGTGATCCGGTTAAGTTCATTCTGAATGCAAGAATAAAAGAGGCCCACACTTTTTGGGAAGATCTATATATTGGATTTGCTAGACTTTTTGGAGAAAGAATTTACAAGAGTAATGGGAATTTTGGGAAAAGAATCCACTAAGAGTGCTGGCTTCAAATACTGAGAACCTGCTGACTTTATATTAGCTTATTTAGGCAACCTTTTCAGTGTTGGAAGTCTCTAGGACATTTACAATTTACCAAAAGTTGTTGGATTTTTATTGCAAGCCGAGTCTTTCAAGTTTAGAACTGAACAGTAGTTCTAGCTTCAAATTAAGTAGCTGGCTTAAAAAAATTGGCAAAGCTTACATAAAAATCTATATAGCTGTTTAATTCCCATATTTAAGCTTGGAAAATTCTCTTTATTATTTGATAGCAAATATTAATGTGTGAGACTGTGTCCAGTACTTTTTTTTGACGAGGAAAGACTTCTGGGAAACTTAGCATTTTACCATATCCAAATTCTGTCCTACGGAGCATAATTTCAAAACAAAAGTATTATTTCACTGCATAATATGAATGTTACTGAGATATCTTTCAAAAAAGCAGCAGGCTTTTCTGACAGAGAAAAAAGAGAGAGCAGGCTGCCACAAATGCCATTCACCTGACTGGTCCCATAACAAAATGAGGGAAAAGCTTCAATTAATTACAGATAATCAGAGTTGGAAGGGATCCTGTAGGTCATCTAGTCCAGCCCCTCACCCAAGCAGGAGACCCTACACCATTTCTGACAAATGGCAGTCCAGTCTCTTCTTGAAAGCCTCCAGTGGTGAAGCTCCCACAACTTCCGAGGGCAAGCTGTTCCATTGGTTGATTGTTCTCACTATCAGAAAATTTATCCTTATTTCCAGGTTGAATCTCTCCTTGATCAGTTTCCATCCATTATTCCTTGTCTGGCCTTCGGGTGCTTTGGAAAATAGCTTGACCCCTTCCTCCTCTCCTCCCCTCAAATATTGGATCACTGCTATCATGTCTCCCCTAGTCCTTCTCTTCAACAGACTAGACGATCTGTTCTCATGATTTTGGTAGAACAGACATTTGAATGGAATTGTTGTGTGGGGCTGCCTTTAGACGAGTGGCCTAAAGGTAGTTAATGATCATTTATTTTTCTTCCCTAGATTAATCTTTCTGCTTCTCCTACACCTGCACAGCTAATAAGCCGTTCACAGACCTCCAACACTAGCAGCAGCAGTCTGACGCAGCAAACCATGTTGCTAGGGAGCACATCTCCTAATCTGACTGCCAGTCAGGCTCAGATGTATCTCCGAGCTCAGATGGTGAGTCTTGCCAATTTAACGTTACCCTTTGGGGCGTTTTTGTCTTGTCCTGTCCATGTATGGCTTTTGGCTGCATGTTGTTAAGTGCACTTGCGGTCTCTATGGGGCTACCCTTGAAGGGCATTCAGAGGCTACAGTGGGGCAGTGAGGCATTTCCTGGGGCTCCAAGAATGACCCCTGTAACACCACCGCTCCATGAGCTGCATTGATTGCCTGGTTTGCTCCCAGATGCAATTCAAGGTGTTAGGAATCATGCTTAAAGCCCTTGTGTATCCAGGCTACTTGAGGGACTGTCTCATCCCACTGGGATTGGCCCGCCCCACCTGTGCTGGCAGGGAGACATATTGGGTGCCCTATCAGCCTGAACTATTCCAACTGGTAGGATCCAAGAGATGTTCTGCAGCTGCCCTGTGGAATATCTTGGCCCCAGGTGTGAGGTCAGTTCCCACCCTCTGACCTTCTGGAAGAGCCTACTGCCTCTCTAGTTAGCTTGGGGTTCCAATAAGGGAATATCACAACGGAGGTGGTTGATCGATTAACAACAGATCCCACCTCCTCCCCCATCCTGCTCTTGCCCTGCCCATCTTTTAATTGGCCGTAATGTTTTGGATTTTGCATTAACTCGTTCATGTTTTTAACTTATATAGTTCTATTTTTTTTATGATTGTAACTTGCCCAGAGTTACCTCGAGATAAGATGGGCAGCTTATACATTTTATAAATAAATAAATAGTCTTTGACTCCAAACAGTGGCATCTCTAATTTTATAGTCTCTTATGTTTGACGTGTTTGGAGAGGTGTTTTCTATCATTCCTATTATTATAGGAATACTCCTATTCCTAGTAATGTCTTGGATAGGTATAGAAGAAGCATCTGTGTCTCTTTTTGTAACTTTTAGATTGCTCTGTTCAGCCAGGGGTCTATCGTGCCAAAATCTTTCAACTCTGATTTTCTGATACAAACAGCAACTTGTTAAGGACTCCCTCCCCTCCCCAGCTCCGCAGCACAATGAAAGAATTTTCCATTTTTCTAAGTTTTAGTATGGCTTCCTTTCTCCCTTACTACAGCTACTGTTCACACTTTTAAATTTTACATATTTGTTGCGTTAACCGTTTATTTCTAATTTGGCCATAGCTAGGTTTTGAATTTCAGTGTTGAGGTAGATCCAAATCTAGGCTAAGATGAAATGCTAGATACCTTTAATCAAATTGATATTTAGTTTGGTGGAGGCTTTAGCCTCAACTTAAATGAAGAAAGTAAATTACGACTTAATGGGAAAAAAAAAACTCAGGGACGGAGCAATTTCCATGTTTTCTTGATAAGAATATGGAAATGATTTGATCTTGTCTTCTTTTGGGAGATTTCTTTGATTTCCCACCCTAGTTCTCAACTCTGATATTTCCTAGTGGTGTCTCAACCAAGTACCTATTTTTGAGATCAGCCAAGGTTGGCCAGGTGTTTACGTCTATTTGACACTTTCCTTTTTTGTAACTTTCGAATACCAATAAAGAACAGCATGTAATTATGTTGTTTTGGGGAAAGCCTCAGGCTGCAGACATTCTTCTTCAAAGAGATGAAATAGCAAAGTGACTCGAAAGGTCTGAAGGTTCTTTTTAAGACATTAGAATACATTTTTGTAGGTCTTGTACTAAAGGAAAAGATGCACCAGTTTGCTTTCAGACTACAGGTAGTCCTCAACTTATGACCACAATGGAGCCCAAATTTTCTGTTGCTAAGCGAAACATTTGTTAAGTGAGTTTTGCCCCTTTTTACGACCTTCCTTGCCACAGTTGTTCAGTAAGTCGCTGCAGTTGTTATTGCTGGTGTAAAGTGAATGTGGCTTCCCCACTGACTTTGCTTGTCAGAAGGTGGGCAAAGGATGGTCCCATGACCCCGGCAAACTGCAGCTGTCATAAATATGAGTCAGTTGCCAAACTTGTGAATTTTGATCACGTGACCCTGGAGATGCTGCAATAGTCATAAGTGTGAAAAACGATCACGGGTCACTTTTTTTTCACTGCCGTTATAACTTGGAATGGTCACTAAATGAACTGTTGTAAGCCTAGGACTGCCTATAGATATGTGTGTGTGCTTTGTGTGGCTTTCAATTTTCTTTTTCCTGCCTTCACAGCTGATTTTTACGCCTGCTACCACTGTGGCGGCTGTCCAGTCTGACCTCCCTGTTGTGTCCTCATCATCTTCGTTTCCCTGTCAGTCTGCAGCTACTCAGGTGAGGCTGCATGGATTGTGGGGAGTGTGTATGTCTACCTGTAACCCAAAACCCTTGTGAAGGACTGGGATGCGACTTTCCTTTTTGTGTTCATATGCATTGGTTGTTGTTGTTTTTTTGTCAAAATATTATTGCATGACTGCTTTTGTGTGTGCAATCTCTCACAACAAGCCAGAGGTTCTAAATGCTAAAGGGACAGCAGACTCTTGCAAACACACATATAACATCTTCTAGAAGTGTATTCCTTTTTTGATCTATTAAAAACAATGTATAGTATAAAGTTTGTGAATTTGTGTTTTCTAGAAGATAAAATTATTATTTTTTCTTTTTTTAACCATGGAAAGTAGGATGATCACCCTCACAGAATTGATGCATGTAGTCATACTTAGCTAGTTCATATTTAGCTGGAAAAACTTGGAAAACAATGTGCCAATTATTATGCTTTAACCTTTAACATTAATTCTTTAAGCGCTCAGTTAATAAATGTATTTACACAGAGACTGTGATCCTAACTGTACCTGTACTCTGTTAACAAGAATAATTTCTGAAAATGTCCATTGTTTAATACTGTCGGCTGAATATTCAAACTTTCTTTGGCATATTTTCCTGGTATAACATTTAAAGTTACAGTGGTATTGTAGTGAAAGAAGAACTAAGGGCAATCATTAGTGTTCAGATTCTTAAGCCTTCTTTAATTCATCTTTGAACAAATAAGACATGCATTTAACATTAATGAGATATAGACTGCATACAGTGTGATATAATCATTCAGAGTAGCTCCCTTCAGGTTCAAGAATTGTGATAGAGCAAGTTGGTTGGGTGTCTTTTACACCTATGTGAAAAACTTCCTCAGTTAGTTGTGTTTTTAAAAGATTAACAAAGAAGGCAGTATTGACTAATCACCTGTAACACTTGAGCCATTCTCATGGTTCCTATATATTTGTATCTTTAATCAAAGTAATAAAAATTGGCAATAGAGAACATTATTGTTCAAATAATCTAACTGTGCAAATGCCTGCGTTCTTGTGCTTGGTAAAATCCAGTTATTTATACAAGCATAAACACAACTTTGGATGAATTAATGTTAACAAACAGTAAACAATCCAATATCAGAAAAATAGAAGGGATTTTATGATTTAGTGACATGGCAAATTTTGCAGGAGTGTACATAAAATTATTGGGGTGTGAAAAACTTTTCAGAAGAAACAAATCATAACAATTTATGCTGTTGATTAAAATATCTATCCCTCTATATTTGCTAACAGTAGTACTATTATTGGTTTTTTTTAAATACAGTCATTTAATAAAATAACAAGGGGGAGGAGGAATAAAAGTGAAATAAAACTTAAAGACAAATCAGTACAGCAATGTGTCTCTATGTATTAAGAGAGGTGGACAGACAGGGTATGCCTACATGTAAATACACATGAAACTTTTCACAACAGTTCTAGGTCATCAGCAAGAATGACCATATTTCATTAATTTTAGAACAATGGACCAATGGAGTGACTACATATCAATAAATATATTAGCATAATTATTTTCATAAAGATGTTAAAGTTTAATTGATTTTGATTAATAAAAATTTGAAATATAAAAAAAAAGGTTTAGCAAGTACAATGTCAACATCCAACTTTGAATTATTTGCTAGAGTTAGTAATGAAAGAGAAAAGGAACTCTAATTAGACTTAAAGTAGACGTATTTTAACAATGCCCTTTAAACAAAAGAGAAATCAAAGATGATACTATCAGTATACCAACTACTTTGATAACAATCCATTAAAAACATACTTTTAGGATTTATTTTTACTCTTGTAACTTATTTATAATATCTACATAAAAAATAATAAACAAATTAGTAACAGTTGACATTTGTATTTTTTTATTGGTGATTTTGCCCAGCTTGTGTGTCACAGCCTGTGGAACTGCTGTCCATGGAAAATGAGCTGTATTGTTGTTCCATCTTACAAGTAAGATGGCACTTTGCTGGGTGGAAGCAATGAGAGGGAGGTGTTGTTACTTGCCTACAGATTAGCAAGCAACCAGTCAAGTAGTCCGCAACGAGGCATATTTCCCACAGCGGCATCAACCTGTTGTTTCTCGAAATACTTCATTACCTCCTGCAAAATGTCCCCCACACTTGCACCTTTTTTGGCTGCTTTGTCAGCCAGTTGTGGAAGCTTCTTCAGCTCGTCATCGTTCTCATTCATGAAAGTGAGATTGGGCACTTGGAAATGAGAAGCAGCCATCCACTGGAGGACAGCCTGGAGTTCTCTGTTCTGTGAGCTGCAGTTGGAGCTTTGGTTGTTTACTATCACCTCAGAGCCAGCAGGTACAAGTGGTTTTCCAATATTAGTTCGTGGAGGTTTCTGGGATAACATTGAATCTGGAGTTGACATGCCTTTGTTTCTTGCTGTGATGTATGTGCCTTGCTCGTCGGAGTAATCTTCAACAACAAAATCGGGGCTTTTAGTCATGTACATACAGAGCTTCATCACAGATTCCATCAGCTGATCAATGAATTTCTTATTTATCTGCTCCATATTCTCACAATCCACATCTGAACTACTCTGTTTGGATGTGGGCTTTCTACTAGATCTATCATCATACGAGTTTGACTTGGGATTCTTGCTTATTTCACACTCATCTACATTGAAACCAGCCTCTTGTAGGACCTTCTGGATGATTGATAGAAGGGCACTTTGTATTTCCCCCCTCTGGTATTCTTGCTGCTGTGGATCACTCCTGGAACTATGAGATTTAGAACCATGTTTACCTCCATAATATCCAAATGAAGACGTATTTGACTCACAAACAGGCTCTTTGTGCTGAGTTAAGAGATGTTGTTGTATCAACATTAAAGCTGTCAAAATGAGGTCTTTTGCTAGAAACTCAGTAGTAGAGTTACTTTTTTCTGACCTCTTATCATGACATCCCCTCTCTGGACCTTTGCCTCCTGCTCTTGATCTCAACATGCTAATTCCATCCTTAATTATTGTTTCACCTACTTTTTGTGCTGATGACTGCCCATCTTGCCTTACCTTTTCCCTCATATGGACCCCACCCTTCAACGATGCAAAATGCATATTTGGAGAATTGGGGTCTAACGAACATCCTGTTTTCAATAAAGAGTATACAAGACTATGCCCTCTGTCCTTATTATCTGACATCAAAGCGTTATACATTCTTAATACCATTGCTTCTAAAATCTCAGTTGACTTCTGAGTTCCCGCATTGAAGAGGTTTTTCTTCACCATAGTAACAAAATCTGAGTCTGTCATGAGGACTCCGGTGACATTATGCAGATTTTTCATGGTAGAGTCGATTAAGTCCGATATGACATCCTTTGTGTGTTTGAGAAACACTCTCTTCAGAATCACACAGGCTGGGAGTGGTGGCCTTTTGTGTATCTTGGTGGCATTCACAAATGAAAATGTCATATCTTTAGCATTTTTGTTTGCATATACCATTAGCCCTTTGTTAAAAGAACCATCATTGCAAGTCTGTTTTCTTGGATGTATCAAGTGGGCATGTGCTGATTTTCCTTCTTCATCAGGTGATGATTCGCTTTGGTTGGAACATAACTCACCATAAAAAAGTGATGTTTTCTTGGGGAGTCCTTTACCCTCCTCTTTCTTTTCTTTATTGGCATCCTGAGCATTTTCCATAATCTCATTCACCATCTTGGATGCAACCTTACTTACCGAGCCAGAGGGATTAAGAGCTTTCCCGTCTTTAGTAGCATAAATTGCCTGGCGTATGCATTTGCTGGCGGCATCTTCCAAATTTTCAGAGATCTCTTTGCTTGCCATCTGCATAACCAAAGTACACAGCTTTTGGACAGTGCATGCTACTTCATCTGATGGTGCTTTTTGACTTTCAGAAGCTTTGAAAGCTGTGTTGTTGTTATTCTGGGACATCTTGTCCGCTGCCGATGGCTTTTGTGCAGGAGGATCAGATGAAGGGGTTAGTGCATGCTGAAATCCACATGCATATTTTTGCAGGTCATCAAAAAGCCAGGACACAACATTAAGCTCTTCGGTTGAACCTTGTTTGAACAGACATACTGCTCCTTCTGTCTTAGATTGTTCTGGTGAGTCACTGTCCTTGATTACTATGACCTCTTTGTCCTGCATTTTCCCCAGATCAAGTCCTGTGGCAGATTCACTGCTTTTGGACTGGCCAGCAGCATCTTTATCTGTATCATCTGTTTGCTTAATGTTCAGGCTGGAAACATCGACAAAACAAATCACTTTGCGTTCCTGGTCCTTTCCTCCTCCAGGATTATAGAGATCGACCTTACACACACCTGCTTGGCTGTGTAGCCAATCAACTTCCTGAGACATCTTCTGAGGCTTGGAAGTGGAAATGTACCTAAGACTATACGGTTGTTCCTTATCAGCTGAACTGCTTTGATGACCCTGCCAGACCGAAGATGTTGCCTCCTCTCTCAACTTTCCATGCTCTTCTGCTGCCAGATGTCATTTTCACTTGTGTGCACATATAGTTTCTATGGCAGCAGTGACATCACAAAGAAGCATCTTATCACCCTCTGATAATATATAGTTCAGCTACTTTTTCTCATTCACCTACCCAGTTTATGAGAAATTTGTCTTTATTAGGAAAAAGTCATGTTGCAGTCCTTGAAATAGTAGCAGAGAATTAAGAGTAATTAACTTATTCCTGTACCAAATCTTATAGGACTTTTTAATTACAATGTCCTTCAGAACATCACTGCAAAAGTACTGTGCCAAATTACATATAATTGGAGAAGCACTTGCATTTAGGGAATTCTTACGTTGTTTTCTGCGTGCTCAGCTGCCATGCCCATAAAAAAAAGAATCTTGTTGGGAAGGCCTGCCATCTTTAGTTTCAGATCTGCTTGCACTTCAATACTCCAGTTGGTATCAAACACTGAGCTGCATTTGGCACAATATGGACATGCAAGAAGCAATAAAATACAGAGAAGACGTCTTTGGGAAAGTTTTGACACTCCCTAA